TGCATCACTAGCTATGGAGGAACATCCAGGTGCATCTCGGATTTTCAAAGGACAACATAACCTCTACTATGCCTCTCCCTTCTCTACCCGCCATACCCTCAGATGAAGTCCTTGCACAACTGGTATGCACTCAGGGCCCTTCTAGATGCAGCTTCACCCAATGAAGTGGAAATGAAACTCCGCCATAGCCAAAGGTGAGTGTCCTTTCCTCTCCCTACCTCTCTCTAATGCTCCACTATCCCCTGCTCACCACCTCGATAGCCTGGGGCTACATCTACCACCTCCCATTACTTCTCCACAACCTTGGAGCTCTTCACCATCACCCTCCTGCTTCACTGCTCCTCCCAAGTGCTCCGCCTAGCTCACCCTCTGGGATGAGCAGCATAACGCCCACTTGAAGATTTAAACCACCAGTACCTTTAACCGTTTGGAAAACAAAGTCACAGTACCTTTCCCCGTATATTGTGCCCGCTCAGCGTGCACATAAATAATTTGATGCATTTCGCTTTCGTTGACGAATTAAATAATTTATATTGATCAGTCATTCAAAGAAAAAGTGGAAAGTGATCAGGCGGATTCAGGTCGGTTCCCATCAATTGCGTCAGTGAACATGTCCGTGCAGCCTGGGCACAAAGCATTTTTCTTTCGATTAGGTTTTTTTTTTTTTTTTTCTCGGTAGTCTCCCTCAGTTCACAGTGGATCAATTCTGATCACTGAGTTGGAAGGCCTTTCGTGATCTTTATTGGTGTATATCATGACGGCTCAACCCGTGCATAAAGCATGTGCAAGGAAAATGAGCGATAGCGAACTTCAGAAATCAAACAGCATTATACACATCGTAACACATGAGACCAGATAGTCGTGACCTCAAACCAATAGCAGAATTGCATCACGAGTTTCACCAAATAAGAGCACAGCAAAAGCTCATAATTGACAATGCTGGAATAGTCTCATCATCATGAACGAAGAACCGATGTCGATATCCTATCTGGCACTCGGCGCCCAGACTATTGATGGCAGATCCTATCTAGCCTAGTCTACAATGCCGCCGATGACGTCAACAGCTCCCCGAAGTACGAGCAGATCTCGGCCAATGCCGTATGCTTCACGCACCAGGTATGCCTCTCGTATCACTCACAACCTCATTCCCCAACTCACAGATACCACATGCACCCAAGGACCACCATGCGCCCCATCCAGCATACAGCAGCGCAGCTCGACTATGGCTGCCTGCTCCTTCCAGCTCGCCCGTAAGCGCGTGAGCGCTGGCCAGCATTAGCGCAGCAGGCAGCCAGTGCCCGAATGCCCAATGCGTAGGCAGGCCCTTCCCTATATCGAAGTGGCCTGCTGCTGCGTGCGCTAATGCGGTACTGGGCCCTGGCCCAGAAGCTTCCGGTAGGCCCCACGAGGCTGAGCCTCAGTCCGAAGTAAACAAGCCCAGGGCCTGTGGTGGTTACCCGCACCCATCTGCCTTCAGCCTGTTCGCTCCATGTTGTGTATCCGGCCCAGGGCCTGCCTCAGTTACATACAATGAAAGGCAGCCTGGGCCTGGGCGCTTCCAACCAACTGGCGCTGCGCAACTGCTTGAATTTCCCCAGTTGCGTGGTGACCCCAAAATGGCCTGTAGGCCTCGGTCGTGCCTGCCTTCACTTAGGGCGGCCGACTGTGTTGAAAATAGGCCCTGTAGGGCATATCGAGGCCATGTGCCTGGCATTCCCTCCTCCAAACTTCGATAGTCCTCTGAGAAGTTCAGTCTTCGATAATCTAGCGCTTTCCCTTCTGCAGAGACTTCTCATAGTGAGCGACAACCTGTGGAGCGGTCTGCATCAGTTCCTCCCATGTGAACCATCTATCCTCCTTTGGATCAGTGTGATGTCTGAACCGAACTGGGTACTGCAGCTTCAGTTTTGGAGGACGTCCTCTGCCAGTCGGTCTTGGAACTGGCATTTCCCTGTGTTCAACGATGTCGTCGATGTCAACCTCTCCATCCATGGTTGGGGGCAGCATAGAGCGACGAGAGGGAAACTGATCAGTTTCTTTGGAAGGTGCAAGCTTGGAGGCGTGGAAAACAGGGTAAGTGCGTAGGTGACCAGGGATGCGAATAACATAAGAAGGGCCATCCGGTTCATCCCCAACGACATCTAGAACCTCCCATGGTCCAAAGTATTGTGGCATGAGCTTGCGGGAGATCCCGTGCTCTTGTCCCACTTCTGAGGACTTAACCCAGACTCTTTCTCCTACCTGGAATGTAGATGGTCGGTGGTGTTTGTTCTCTGACTCTATCATCGCCGCCTGTGCTTTATGCATCTGCTCAACAGCCTGCTGCATTAGGCGTTCATACCGATAAGCAAACTCTAGCGTCCCTGGTGCAGCAGATGGCTGATTCTCAGGTAGTAGGGAGTCCAAAGGCAGTCTAGGCTTGAAAGTCAGTAGCAAGCTGTTCGGGCTCACTCCCGTAGCACTGTGCACAGCGTTGTTGTACAGGCTGGCGATGAGAGCAAGTTTCTCATCCCAGTCTACCTGATTTGGCTTGATGTAATGCCTCAGCAGGTGTTGTACAACGCGGTTCAACTGGTCTGCCTGTCCATTCGCCTCTGGTGATTGCCTGATGTCATTTGCAACTGCGTGCCCTGTTCTGCAGCTGCAGCTTTCCACATATCACTGGTGAATCGCACATCCCGGTCACTAACTATAGACTTAGGCAGTCCGAAATATCTGACCCAGTTTTATTCGAACGGCTTGATCACATACTCGGTTTTAGCTGTTGCAGGTATCGCGACTAACCTAGCGTACTTACTAAACCTATCCACAATGACATAGACGTAGCGCATTCCACTCTTGCTGGTGACCAGCGTATCCATGAAGTCTATGGACAGGCTCTCACCAGGCCTTTTTGGAATCGGAAGGGGCTTCAGAAGGCCAAGAGGAGCTTGTGTTCGTGGCTTGTCCCTCTGACAGACCTAACAAGTCTCCACGTACAACTTAGCGTCTTTCATCATCGTGGGCCACCAGAACCGCTGCAGCAGATTGGCTGCTGTCTTTTTGTAGCCAAAATGTCCGGCGGCATCATGACACTCACCTATAAATAAACTACGCAAAGACTCTCTATCCGGCACACACAGACATTTATTCCCTTCCTTCTCTAGGAACAGCAGTCCGTTGACGAACTCAAACTCAGTTGAAGTCACCTTGTCCTTCGCCTTGAGTCTGCGTATGATCTCAGACATAAACTGGTCCTCGCGATAGGCTTCCACCAAAGAGCGAGTGACATCGTCCGCAAGTCCAAACTCAGTAATCAGCGCACTAGAGAAATCAGGCCTACGTGATAAGGCATCAGCAACTTTATTGTACTCCCTCTTGAGATACTGGGGTTCGAAGTCGTACTGTTCAATGACGTCGATCTAGCGCTTCAAGGCATCGGAGAGCACTGGCTGGGTTCTCATCCATTTCAGGGTCTGATGATCAGTCCTGACGATGAAGAACCTCCCAAGGAGGTAATGTCTCCACTGGGTCAGTGCCTTGTAAATCGCGTAAAGCTCCTTCTCATAGGTGGACTTAGCCAACTTCTGAGAGGGCATCTTTTTGGACATGTACTCGACTGGCCTCAACTTTGGCCCCTCCTTCTGCGTGAGCACGGTGCCTATGCCATATTGGCTAGCATCCGTGGTTACTATAAACGGCTTGTCAAGATCAGGAAGTTTCAAGACCTCATGATGCGTCAACGCATGCTTCAGATGTCTGAAAGCAGCCTCACATCTGTCTGTCCACTCCCATGGGGTGTCAAGGCGAGTCAGGTCAGTCAAAGGGGCGGCCACTATGCTATATTTCTTCACAAAATTGCGATAGTAGCCGGTCATCCCTAAGAAAGACCTCATCTCAGTCACAGACTGAGGACGCGGCCTGTCACGGATGCTGGCCACCTTCGCGTCATCGGGCTTCAAACCCTCCGCGGAAATCTCATGACCCAAGTACAAGATCCGGGTGCGACCAAACTCGCATTTCTCCCCGTTGATCTTGAACTTGTGCTGCCGAAGAAGACTGAGGACTTTGTCTAAGTGCGCAACATGCTCCTCGACAGTCTTATTAAAAATAAGTATGTCATTGAGGTACTCGATGACAAACTTATCCAAGTAGTTATGAAAGATCCGATTCATAGCGTGTTGAAAGGTGCCAGGAGCATTGCAAAGGCCGAAAGGCATCACCACAAACTCGTACAGACCATACTTGGTCTGAAATGCGGTTTTGTGTTGATCCTCGGGCCAGATTGCAATCTGGTGGTACCCGGACTTCAGATCTATCTTACTGAAGTACCGACACCCGTGCACTCTATGTAGCAAATCGTCGATGCGTGGTAGGGGCTTTCGATTCTTGACAGTGATGGCATTGAGGCCCCTATAGTCAATGCACATCCTCAGTGTACCCCCCTTCTTTGGCACAAATAAAACTGGCGATCCGTAAGGGGAGACACTCGGCCGGATCCAACCCTTCTCTATGAGTTCCTTGAGCTGTTGGCGAAGCTCGTCAAGCTCGCCTGGAGACATTTGATAGATCCTACCCTTCGGGATGCTAGACCCTGGGATAATCTCTATCGCGTGGACGACCTCCCTCTCGACAACCCCTATCGACTCTTCAAATAGATCAGGGTACTTAGCAACTACTCCCTCTATCTCCGACGACATTTTCACCGGCTCGTTTGCTACAGAGACATAAACTGAATACATACCCTCCTCCGGATTTTGCTTATAATAGTTGTAAAACGCGGCGGCACACATGCATCCGTAGGACTCGATCAGACTACTAGCCTTAAACTTACGTAATGTGGCGGTCCCTCCACCTGGCAAAATGTGCTTGACCACTTTTCGGTCCCAGTCAAACTGGGGCTGTGCAACGGAGAGGTAGTACATACCTAACAAGATATCCATAGGGAGATCATCGCTCACTAGGAACGAGACGCGATGTCTTAGTTCCCCTCCCGCGTTAATTGATAATCCACTTAATATGTTCAATTAATTAAAAGACTTAAATCTGCACGAGAAGCCGTATGAAATCAAAGTTTCGTGTACGGTTTTGCAAAGTGGTAGGTTAGACGACTAATTTGCCAAATTTAACACTACTACACCTAAAAAGCCAAACTCCACGTTAAGAAAAGTAGCTAAAGTGCGTCTTACCGCAAGTTTTGAAGTCACTGCATATATTCCTGGAATTGGACATAACTTACAAGAACACTTAGTAGTTTTAGTACGTGGTGGTAGAATAAAGGACTTGCGAGGGGTGCGATATCTACAATACTATAAGAATCGCTATTTCTTATCGTACGGCCTGAATCGCAGGCCGGTACCGTTACCGCGGACGGCCCAGATCGCAGGTCGATGAGAAAATGTTCTCAATGTTACCGGCGACGGCCCAAATCGCAGGCCGATGATAAAACTTTCTCATCGGCCTGCGATCTGGGCGGTTCGCAGTAACGGTACCAGCCTGCGATTCAGGCCGTGAGATATCGGTACCTGAGGCGCCCGTTCGCCTGCCCTTCGGCCCGTAATCGTGGCCGCCCCCCCCCCCCCCCCCCC